AATCAAAAGACATGTTTTTTTTGTTCACTCTAATTGTCAAAGTCTACTCTGCCCATCATAGAGTAGTTTAAGGCACTATGGGAGCGATTCACATTTGTCTTTTAGACATTTGGGGATTTGATCATTCCTACATCTTTTTTGTTTATGAAACATTCAAAATATCAATCTAGTGATCTGAATTTATGATAACATGGAGAAGTAGAGGATCAAGGTGAAAAATAATCATAACCTATGTCCCATTAGAGGGTCTCCAAGGTCATCTGTGTTTTCGTGATAGTAATGATAGCACTAATTAGAGTTGCAGCAGTTGCATTGACCATGCACTATGTGTCATTCTCTGTTAAGTGCTTAAGGTTTATTTTGTGTGACTAGGTAGTGTTATCATCCTATTTCACAGAATGTGAAAGTAAGACTGAGAAGTTTAGTTATCTGCCCAACCTCTGTAATACCAATTCTGAGGAGTGTGCTCTTGAGGACTCCCTGGCACGAGTGACAGTGAAGGAAGTTCAGCTCCCAGGTGGATAGAGCATTCTTTCTGTGTCATTCTAGCCCAAGAAAGTACAGTTTGCCCACTTAATGAATTTGACTCTTAGTTTTAAATCTTTAATTTTTAAATTTTAAAGTGTGAGTGTGTGTGTGTGTGTGTGTGTGTGTGTGTGTGTGTGTGTGTGTTGTTTAGGGCACACAGTGTGATATTTTGAAACATGTATATATTGTACAATGGACTAAATTGGACTAAACATGTATTCTAATTCATCTCTGTATACCATATTTTGTGGTGAGAAAATATAGTAAATAAAATCTACATTTTGATTTTCAAGTATACACATTGCACAATGGATGTCTTGAGTTTATTTCTCCTGTCTAACTGAACTTTGTATCCTCTGATGAACATCTCCCCACCACCATCCACTTACCCCAGCCCCTGGTAACTACCATTATACCCATTTTTAAATAAAGAAGGGGCTGAAACAGCCTTGATTTTTTTTTCTTTCATTCTTGCCCACGTTTCATGCTTTCTGTACAGTGAGATCCCTCACAGCTCTGAAGTAGATTTGGAAACATTTTGAAAAGGTCCCGTTGAATTAGAAATGACAGCATCAGCTTGTATGTGCCACTGGAGACTGATGTATGTGTTATATGCAGTGATTTGTATTTGAAAGAAATGGCTCAGCTGAAAGTAATGGGGCACCTCTGTCAGTGCTGCTTGAAGCTGGTTCATATTTTAGGGACCCCAAAGACAAAAACAGGACTAGACAAAGAAAGCATGGATAAATCAGAGATTTCTGTCACTCTAAGAACAGGTTAAGTAGTAAAAAAATGTTTGTATAAATGATAATGATTTTATGAAATGATATAAGAAATGCTTCTGTCCCAAAACCTTTTTCCATTTTCCTTTGAAGAAAATAAGCATTCTGATAAATGGAGTTTTGCTCATATACTCATTAGCAAATTAATAACAGCAACTTTCCTTTAGAGTCTGACTAAGGGGACAGGATACACCTGGGTAGGGATTTCTCTGCCGGTTTGACAGGATCAGAAGGGGTCAGTCAGAATGGCAGGGTATGGGATTGTGAGATCTTAAAATTATAGCTGTAGCTAACTATTTTTATCTTTCATTTTCCTGTCTTTTTCCATTCACCATCTCCTTTGAGACCCATGAGCTCTTTTGGGAACAAAGTTTACTCTTCTGTGTTGACAAAGTCAGTTAAGAAGCCTGACTCTCATCTCAATTTCTACTTTTTTTTCTGACATTCCTTAATTCCTTGGGTTATTTTTTTCACTGTGATAACCCTATATCTATATCACTGTACCTCCTCCCTCAGTTCCTAACATGAGAGAGAGGTGATATTTAAGATTATTGCAATTTGTTGATTTATTAAGTAAATTATAGGCTAAACAATAAAGCTTGAAGCATTATGTATGTACTAAACTTTAAATGTGGCGTAATTGGAAAGCAATTTGCAAAGTATAGTCTTTAATATGTGTAGGCAGTTTTTTAAATTCTCTAATTTGATTTTAATCTAGTAGCTAATCAATCAATTTTGAATTAAATAATCAAACATCTTTTAAAAGTTACCATTGAAAATCCTCGTCCCCATTCCCAGACTTAACCTATACCCCTGTCTCCTTCAGTACCTGTTGAGTTTCTGTGAGGTTTCTGTGAGCGTGTTCATGCTGAAGACAATGAGAGTATGTAATTCCTGTAGAGACTAGTGTAGTAAATACTGCCATGTATATATTGATTTCCACTCACTTTTGTCACTTACGGATATGTGCTGGGCATCCTTTCACATCAGTTTCATCAAAAACTCTGGATTTTGGCAAACAAGAGGAGGTATGCAGTATACCAGTTTGTTTGATTTTCATGTAATTGATCAGCCTTCAAGTTGTTTCCAATCTTTTGCCATAAAAATACAACTGTTAGAAGAATTTCCCAGAAGTGGTGTTTCTGGGAGGAAAGGAAATGGCTTTGAATAATATTGCCATTGTGCCCTTCATACAGATTGTACTATTTTTTATATTTCTTTCTTTTTTTGTCTTTTTGAGACAGGGTCTCCCTATGGCCCCAGCTGTCCTGGAACTCACTATGTAGACCAAGCTGGCCTTGAATTCACAGAGATCCGCCTGCCTCTGCCTCCCAAGTGCTGGGATTAAAGGCGTGTGCCACCACGCCCGGCCATATTTTTCTTTTTTTATGTATATGAGTGTTTTGTCTGCATGTATGTAAGTGCACCATGTGAGTGCACTGACCACAGAGACCAAATGAGGGCATCAGATCCCATGGAACTGGCATTATGGATAGTTGTTAACCCCCATGTTAGTGCGGGAAACCAAACTTGATCTTCTGCAAGAGCAGCCAGAGCTCTTCACCATTGAGCCAGCTCTCCAGCCCCAAGGGTTGTACTTTTGTTTTCACTCTCCTCAGTGACATATGAAGGTGCCACTTACACCAGCAGATTCTATTTTCAAACTTTTGGAATTTGACCAATCATATAGGCATAAAAATTAGTATATGAGGATGGTTTACTGTGCCTTTTTCTTATTAAGAAGTTGTGGGTTTTTTTTTTTTAATCTTTAGTGACTATTACAGTTCTCATAAGGTAAATGCACTTTTCATGTCCTTTGATTACTTTTCTATTAAGTTCTTTTGGTTTTTCATTTTGATTTCTATCCATCATTTGTGATATAAGTTGAACATTGGTCTCTCCAGTTATTCATTCATCTTTTGTTTTCGTTTTCTGTTTCTCCCCCTTTTTTGTGAAAACATTACAAGTAGCCCTTGATTTACAAAGCACTACAGAACTGTACAAACAACTAGGCAGGAAAACCATGCAAAGCACTCAGTTTTCATAACTTACGGAAATTTCTGTCAAAACATTGAAAACTCTTACCATCATTTATAAATATATGTGGAAATAAAAAACAAGAAAACTAAGTTCTAAATTGTATTCAATATGTTGCAACATTTAAAGTTTAGTTAATGTGGTTTGTTTCTTTTTTAAAATATCAAAACCTATTTGAACAGTGCATGTTGGCTTTATCCCCTATGCTCTCTGAAACAGCATGAGCATATTTTCTGTGGCTTAGCAAGCTTCCGTACCTCTACATTTTAATCAGCTGTGAGCATTTTATCCTTTTTCTCTTTTTTAAAAAAACATCTCAAAGAATTTCCCAGCATCACTTCCTCTTGTGTCCCATCCCCCTTCATCCTCACTCTTCCTTCTATGACAATCAGTTTCTAAGTCTCTTCTCAGTTTATAGCAAAAAACTTTCTTTTGGTTACATATGTCTGTGAAATGTCCTATGATTATATATTTCTTTTATAACATGATTTACGTTCGGTTTAATTTTCACTTCCAGTGTCATCCCTCTTAGTTTTTTGGCCATATTTTATCTTTCTTAACAAATTATTTATCTTTGTCTACTCTTTATAAAATGACGCGTAGTCTCTTCACCGGGTGACGAAGAAAGAGCACAACCATATACTTTGTTGTCTATACTTGAATTGAATGGCCAATGCATGATGACCAGTTGCCAACAGACTAGGAAATGCACATTAGATATTTACATACAGAATTATGAAGGGATAGCATCATAGTTTGGCTTTATGTAATTATACTAAATATATAGTGCTAGGTATACTATAATGCTGTAAGATTTAAACTGTGTTGTTGAGGGACTGATACTATTTAACTGGCCTAGGTCAGTAAGTTAAATTTGTGTGTATTGAGCCATAGAAGGTGAAGGCTGCCTTAGTAGAGCAGTGCAAACAAAAATGTATTCATCTCTGAGGTTTAGCTCTTAGCATTCTGTTAGGTACAATTTAAGTGTTTTAATAAAAGAAATAAAGCATTAAAATGAAGTTGAAATTCTCTTTTGTCCTTCAGCACCTATCCAATTCTTCTTTTTATTTTTCTTCCTTTTCTTTTTAATGCAGGATCTCACTATGTAGTCCTCACTGACCTGGGACTCATAGAGATCCACCTCAGCCTCCTGAGTCCTGGGATTAAAGGCATGGCCACACCTGGCCCCCTATTCCTTTTCTTAACTGCAAACTCAGTATCATCATGAATTTGAAGAGTGTTCTTTATTCTCTCACAAACACAATATGTATACATATATATGTGTGTGTATATATTAAAGATTTCAGTGAGATGTATGTATTATTTGTGGGTATATTGTTTAACTCATTCTGTAATTTTGTTTGCTGTTTATCATGTTTGCCCTTTGGCTCTTGTAGTCTTATTTTCTTAAAGAATTAACGGAAATATTTTGCTCTCCCTCCCATTTAGAAGTCATGTTTTTCTATTTCATCCTATTTCATTTAAGTAGTGAAATAACTTATCTTTAAAAAAATTAAAACTTGTATTTAGATGGAATGATGACCTTGCTGTCTCCATGGAAACAGCCTGAGCCTACAGATACTGATGTGTGTGGTATCATATTTATATATCTCTGATATATTTAACCATATTTTTATTCTGTTTGTCTTGCAGATTTATTCAGGAGATTGAGCATGCCCTGGGACTTGGCCCCGCCAAACAGTGTCCTCTTCGAGAGTTTCTCACCGCATATATCAAAGACATCTTCCTTCATCAGGTCTTGACTGAGATCAACAAAGAGATTGAAGGAGTCACTAAAACATCAGACCCCTTGAAGATCCTAGCTAATGCAGACACCATGAAAGTGCTGGGGGTACAGAGGCCTCTCCTACAGGTAGTCATACAGTAGATTTTACTATTTTTGATCAGCATTTTTTATGGTCTTGGGTAAGTGTTCTAACTTTAGAAGACAGGAAGAATTACCATCTGTTTCTGTATTCATCAGGGACGAAACAAAAGGAAAAAAATTAAATAGACACTAGGGAAATTTAGGTCTAACATAGTTTGGATAATAGAAATTCCATAAGATCATGAAAGAAAAAAGATAACTTTGACTAAGGGAAATGGTGAGTCTCATTAACATTCAGGCAACTCCACTGTCTAGAATTTGTCCTTGAACGAATTGTTTTTCCACTGGTTAATACTTCCCAGAGTAGGAAGAATTAACAAGAAGGAAATTAGTTATTCCACCTAACCTCAATTACCAGCAGGAAGCCAATTTTAGGTTCCGTTTATAGGTAGACTTAGAGTAAATAACTGGACTAGCTCCCAGAGCATTTGAACCAGTAAACTAGCTTTTAAAAGCCAGGTCATTTGATAACCCATGGCTGTTGGGAGGGGGAGAGACAATCTCTTTCTAAGATGTGATTCTTGGTAGATTAACCAGGCTCCAGTGGATGGACCGATACCATAGGACATTTGAGAACACAAATTAGACTCTATAGGATATATAAATACTATCAAACTATATTGTATGAAAATCATGAAAATTCAATAAAAAATAAAGACAAAAGTTTAAATGTCTCTGGAGGGCAGGGAGCAATAAGGGAAGGTATAGAATAGAAAAGGGGATCTAAATACTATCAAATGATACTATGTTGTATGAAAATTGCAAACATTCAATGAAATTTAATAAATAAATAAAAGCTAGGCCATTTAATTCAAGTCATGATCTCATTAATACTAAACACTGACTTGGACTGAATATATAGTTTCTGCCCAATAGAAATAAAGTTGTCTGTAGATATTTTTGTTTAATAGGCCTGTTGTGTATTTTATATACATTTTAGCTTATGGCATGAAGATAGAAAGCTAAAAGAAAATTATCATGAGTTTGAATTATGGTTGTGTGTTGACAATTAATCTTTATAGCATTGCTTCATTCAAAAGAACAGTGGGCTCAAAACCACATTTTTGCGTAAGCCATAAAATACCAGAGTGCTCAAAGTGCGGAAGGTTTGGCCTGGGCAAATGGAGGGTAGTTATACTTGCTCCTGTAAGCTCTTTGACTTTGCCTCCTATGTACATTGCAATTAAGAAACATTTTGAACTTTCTCAGGGAAGTGTTATAGTTAAAAAGCAAATTCTTCTGTGGTAAGAAGGACGTGAACTAGAGGCATCAGAAGGAGAAGCTACTTGTTTGCATTGTCTGGTCTTACTAGATATGCTTCTAGTGAGGGCTATGCATGGAGTTTGGTGTGCAGAGATGGTTTAGCAAAGGTGAGTGTTGACGTCCCCTTCTCCTGGATTGCTGTTCCGTTGGCTATTTTTATGGATGGGAGCATCCCCCTGAATCTGATTTGATGTGGTATCTCCACTGGGAGGCTTTTACTGAATTTGCTCCCCAGTTGGGTCCCCTTTCCTGTTTTTTTCCTCCATTCTTCCCTTCCACTTAGAGTTTACCCAATGTGTTTTCCATACTGAGACCTACTGTAGCACTGAGGCCATCTTGCCCGGTGGCTTCTGATTGGGTTCTTCTCTTAGGAATCGCCAGCAGGAACTGGGGGGTGAGAGAAGAAAGAGGTTGAGTCATTTCCTCCTTCCCACTTTGGATCTGGACTCTTCCTCCATAGCTCCAGCTCTCCCTGGGCTCCGAGAACACCACTTCTTCTCACTCTTTGATTTCAGCTTTGTGCTGTTTCTAGTCTCTCTATCCCTCCATAGCTCACATTCCTTCTCTCAACCCTGCCCATACCTCTCTGAGTTATCTCTTTATTCATGTTTCTTCCCTTGGATGGCCTAAATTAAGTATCAAGATCCCCAAAATATCTCCTCAGTTAATCATTACTTTAATACTTGGAGTTTGCTTGCTTACTAGCTTGCTTGTTTTTGCCTCTGATTGACCTCAAAGCCTTTCGCATGCTACCACTCAGCTACAAACCCAATCCCAACACTTGGGGTTTTTTTGTTTTGTTTTGTTTTATCTTTAAGCATTTATCATAGCTACACCTACTACTAACTTGTCTTTGTAGCTTCCTGCTAGGAGTTAAGTTCTAAAAGTGCAGCATCTTGTCAGGCAGCAGGAAGTGCTCAGAGAAATTACTGAATGAGTTGGTGAATAGATAGGGTAGGTAGATAGATGAAGACAGTGGATAAGCACTTGTTGAGTCAAAATGGGAGGAAATGAGAAAAAAATGACAAAAAGTTGTTTGGTTTTATGCTTTGTCTGGCCATGTGAGTTTCTTTTCTATCAGGAATCCATCCAGTATCTATTATCCTGAAGTGTCATGCTGTATGCTGTAAAAAGCAGCTTTATCATGCATGTTGTACTGAGTTTAAAAGGAGGGGGAAGGCTACCAAGTAAATCTGTAGACTGGAAAGTCTGGCTTATGAAACAAGATCATTTTGAGCTTAAGTAGCAAAGACCAGTTGAGACTCCTCACTAGTTTACCACAGTCTGGGCCATGTTGGGCCATGCACTGCCAGCTGAGTGTCAACTCTGGGCAGCACAGGATGTGCCTGTCAGGTCACTCTCAATCTTGTCACCAAACATTTTGTACTAGTAACTTTGCCTCTCGTCCTTTAAGTCAATTCCTCCATTCTGTGACCAGGTAAGAACTCCAACTTTACCTGTTCTCTCTTTGGCCCTATCAAGATGTAATTGCATGTGCGTGAGTAAATCTTAAGACTAAAGTCATTTGAACTATTAAACCTCAAAATTTGTATTCAGAGCTAAAACAGCTGCTTTGATGTGTGATTATTTTACTATCTTTTTTGCATCAAAATTGTATTTTATGAAAATGCAAAGCACTGGGGACTACAGATAATAAATCTGTCTAATATTCTCAGAATTAGGAGGTTTAAAAAGCAAGTGTAAACAAGGTTATTTGCCTTTCTCATCCTGAGAAATTCTTTCTTTATAACAACTGTAAATTGTCTTCAAACATGATTTTTTTTCATGCCCAGGCTTCAGTGTTTCTTAAATGTATTTCTGTATCTCCTTGATATTTTTATTCCCAGTAATTTCAGGTGACTAATCTGAAAAAAGTGAGAAACAATTCCTCAAATTTTTAGCTGAGAATCTAAAACATATGTTAAGATGGGAGCTCAGAGGAATATGTGTGAAAGTTGAAGGTAGGGAAAGTGCCCAATCACATGAAGCCTAAAATGGCCTGTGCAGCTATTCCCTCTCCTGGATTGCTGTTTGGTCACATGGGAGAGCAGGGCAAATGCCTTTACCCTGAGACTGCGCCCATGTCACTTGACATCGGCTCCCACAGATCCTCCAGAAGTTGGAGGCATAGCTGCTTTTACTTGTGTGATGATAGGCAGGTGCAGTACATAGTGTCCAGAGAAGAGAACCCAGCACACTGTGTCTCTGCCCCTCTGAGACGGTACCTGAGCAGTACAAACGCTCATGTCATGAGGAAACTTTCCCAGGGGTTCTAGCAGGCATTTGCCCCCATGATTTTACTTTCTATGACAGGTTCCACCAAAAGTAGGAAAAAAATAGTGCTAGCACTACTTTTAGGTGAAATGCTCTGCAAGGGTTGGGCCCAACTGGCATAGCACAGGAGTACAAGTAGCAATAACAGAAGAAGTAGCATCAGTAATGATTGCAATCTGAACTGCAAATAGTGCTCATGGTTATGACTAGCACATTGGCACATTCGCTATGAGCTGGACACTCTTCCCAGTTCTTTCTATGTATTGGCTTCCGTGTGCTTTGATTGTATGGTAGAAACTTCTGTGGGACCAATCGTTAAATTACTTGTCCACAGCCAGCAAAAGTAAGAATAATTCACACCCAGCCAGTCTAAACATGAGCTCTGTGCTCTACAGTAGTTTTCCTCAAATCATAGTCTGAGGATTATACATGCATGTGAGCTGTGTGCTATGACTAGGCCGTCAGACATAGAGATTTGAGAATGCATGCTTAGACACTTTAATCTTTTTTTCCTTAGGAATTTGACATTGTCTGTTGAATCTAATAAAAAATTGGGGCTTAAATCTTGTGTATTCCTGGGTTTTTGATTTCTTTTTTCTAGTAACTTATTTTTATTTTATCTCAGGAAATTATCTATCTGAAACAGACTGAGAGGAACACTGAGCCATTACCGTAGTTAGAGGTGTGCTGCTCTAAATTCCTACTGTCCCATACTGCCTCATAGACATGTGCAGGAGAGAACCATCTGCTTCAGTGCCTAAAGCATTTTACAAAAGATAGAATACACCTGGTTCTCTTCTAAACCTCTAGTTCCAGAATACTCCTACAATAACTAGAATGTTTATTATTTATTTTTAAAATACTTTTTACATATATATTTATTTAGTTGTATGTGCATATATATGTATATATGTGTGTGTGTGTGTATATGTGTACCATGGTGTGTCTGTGGATTTTGGTTTTGTCCTTCCACCATGTGAGTTCCAGTTCGTCAGGCTTGGCAGTGACTGCCTTTACCCACTGAGCCATCTCGCTGGCCCCAATATTTAATAATAAATGGGTGAGTGAATGAGTGAATGCCAATGACTGGTAGTTTCCTTAGTACAGGGACATGTGTGTATATGTTTTCTTCTAATGCTATAAAATGAGTGGTCTTGCATGTCAGAATCTAGGCTTTGCTAAAGTAGAATGTCACCATTCTTTGACCTACTGCTCCAGTGTAAAGGCAAGATTGGATATACCACCTGGGCTTGCCATATGAGAGGTTTCTGTCATCATTTTTCTGCAAAATGGCCTCAACACATTGCAGTGCAAAGCTTGTTGATTTAAACCAAACTGAGGAAGTCTCTTAAGAGAAACTCTTTTGTCCTAAGTCGTAGTCTAGATATGAAGATTTGAAGCTCCATCCTCAACATTCTGGACATGAAACTTGAGGCACGTTCATTTGA